GAGTAGCCCAAGAGTTGGCGGTGGGTGGTGATGACTAGCTGCCTTCTCTCTAGTTTACATTACTAAATTAGAGAAAGCTAGCGCAGATAGCCCTCGTGTAGCTTTGCGCGAAATTCAAAACAAACTCTGTAAGCCTGAACTGTTCTTGAGCTTTAATTGTGTTAGTTCATTTCAAAATAACTAAAACATAACTAAAATGAAAATATATGACAAACATCATTGCTGAAATTCCATTAACGATTATACTATTTATTGTAGTAGAATTCAAAACTTGGTCAACATTCTACAGTTAGGCTGTAATACATCACAAGGAAACATTAATCAATGATAAAAAAAACTTGATGTTATTAAGTCTTTGGTCAAAACTTAAGAAGTTCAATAAGCGACAATGCGCATGCTCTTTTCTTTCGAAATTCTGAACTTAATTTTCTTCTGATTAATGTGTAATAACTGAAAACAGAGCAGATAACAATTTACAGCAATTCTGTAATCTTGAAAATATCATTAGTATTAAATCATCTGGAAGCTAAAAATGAAAGAGTTTGTTTGTCTACTCTAACAACACCTTATGCAGACAATAGACTGAACGGTCAGGGAAGAGACACATAAGGTTCAGGCTAGTCGACCCTAATCGTCAACTTAGAACCAGGGGTAAGGCCACCAGTAGGAAGTATCCACCGTTTGAAGTGAATAATATTAATCAACTAGCGGAATTGACTGTCGGTTTTATAACCCAACCACAACTAAAAGTAAGAAAAAAAATTTTGGTAGCACCACGTCTCTTACTCGAAACCATCGGATCCCACTTTTACCGATAACATCATTCAGTAAATTGTAAATCCAAATAGCACAAAAAACTATGTTTATCAAGTATTTTTACAGATGTGAGTGATAACCTTTTACCGATAGCATCATTCAATCAGCTTTAAGTTAAAATAGAAAAAAAAAACCTAGTTTATCAAACATTTTTACAGATCTGAATAATAAACTTTTACCAATAATATCATTGAATCAGCTGTAAGTTAAAAAGAAAACTGAGTTTACTAAGAAGTTTTACAGTTCCCTATTCTAACCTTTAACCTTTCACCGAGTGGAAGAATTTCTTTCAAGCTCGGCGACATGAAAAGATATTTTTGTTTGTGAAGTACAAAGCGATACAACGGACTAAGTGTACTCTGCCCATCGCGGGTATCGAAACCGGATTTTTAGCATTATATACCCTAAAACTTATCGCTGAGCCAAAAGGGAGCATTGAAAGAAATAAAACTTATCAGAGACTTTGTATATGGTGAATCGGTGAAAGAATAAAAGCATTGTACGTTATCATGACGTATATACATCTGATGACGACGAACTGAGAATTTGAGCGTTTCTCTGCAAATGCTGTTCACTGATGTTTATTTATAAACCAAAGACGAATGGCCTTGACGTTAGATACTGATATACTCGCAAATATTTCCGTTTCGTGGCTTTTTTTCTTACGGTCTTACAAAAACTTGTGCTCTTGGTTAACTTAAAATTGGAAACATTCGAAAATTGAACATATTCAGCGATATGATTGTTTGTTGTTTTTTTCGCAATGCTACTAAGCTATGCGGAGAAAGCCGCAACCGCCTTTTTGAAGCGCCATTCATTTCGCGTAAAGCATGCCCAGTTATTACAAGATTTTTCAAACCCATTTTTCTTGCCGTTACTGAACTCGGGCATAATTTGTGCTACGTAACACACGACAAACAAATAGTTGTATATGTATATATAATAACAAAGACGAAAAACGAATAGGCACGAGAAGAACACGTTCTGACGGAAAATTAGAAAAGAAAAACTGTGATATTTTGTGATATTCATAATTGTATTTGGACTCGAATCATAAGGAGTAAATAAAGTTGAAGAAACGTTTTATTATTACGCTCACTTCGGCTCCAAATGATTTTGATCGTCAAAGGTTTTATAATGAATAAAATTCACATGCTTGAAATATTTTATTTATGACAAGGATTAATAATCTAAACATAAATGGTGGCTCCTGTTTTTTGTTTTTTTTCTGCTGCTTTTTATTTTTACAGATAAATGACTAGTCCCTAAATGGAAGTCAACATTTTTATTACCTTTGGGCAACATCTACCAAACTGGTTTGACCAAAAAAACGAGACCTTAGTGCTATCTTTTATTGGAATAGCGTTTGTGAAGTGGTTGTTTCTGGACAGAAACTACAAAACAAAAACAGAGAAAAGGAAATGTAAATTCGAATTCTAAAAAAGTACTGCAAACAAAACGTTTCTTTTAACAATCTTACAACGCTAAAAACCGGGTTTCGATAGACGTGGTGGGCAGAGAACAGATAGCCCATTGTGTAGCTTTATGCTTAGTTACAAACAAACAAATTTTAATAATCTATGAATAATAAGAATAGTCTCTTTTTAAAACAATATGGGTGATAAAAATATGACTTCATTGATCATTTTGTTCTTGTAATAAGTAGGAACGTTTTTTTTTCTTCTTCTTCTAACATTTAAAACCTATTTATGACCCAAGACAAAACGTTTGTAGAAAAATAAGCGCAAATTAAGTATGGTTCCCGCGGTAGATACTCTACATCAAAACAAACAAACAAACAAAATAAATTATACTAAAACATTTATTAATGAATGAAGGTAGAATAAGTATTATATTTATAAAGCCACGACGGATGTCGTTATTTTACGCTAACTATGTAAACCGAAATAAAAACTCCAGAGACTCTTAAGTCCGACGAACAAATTTTCTTTTCTGGTCATTTGTAGATGTGACAAGTAGCATTTGGAAGTTCGTTACTTTCAATCACTGACGTCCGATTGTTGAAACAATAAGGTCCCCTGTGTTTTATTCTTCGTTGCTCTAATTAGAGTAAATTAGGACATTTTTGTGGACGTATCACGGGAATTGAAACTCTATACATCTGTGGAGTCCCCCGGGGACACAGGGACACGTCCCGGTGTGATGAGAGTAAAGAAGCATGGAAAGTTTGTTGTTTATCTAGTTTTGTTCTGCATCATTGATTTTTTTTTCTTCCAGGACTATTTACTCACGCGACAATTACTCTTTAATTTACAACACATTTGTTCAGAAAAACAGAGCAAAGTCGACTTCGCCAGACA